CCTAACAGACTTACAAAAGATACCTCCCAGGTTCGTACTTACATTAATTGCCGTTCCGTATATACACATATATTATATATATATATACGTATGGTTTTAAAACTTTTTAACAGTTTCACGGAGGTGATCAGAAGTGGCCCATGAAAAAAATATAAAAGTTTTTAAGTTTGAAGATGTAAGCCGTTTTCATTTGCATGACTTAAGATTCTGTGTGTAGGATTTAATTAGTTAATTGATTAATTAATTAATATATATATATATATATTACTAGGTATATATATATATATATATATATATATGTATATGGGTGTAGTTAGGTAGATCTTACATTTGCAACACAGTTTCTAGAATTTTCAAATGAAGGAATCAACCTGATGATGATATATATATTTTTGATTTAAATAATCACAGGCTTCTCTTAATTAATCATTACTTAATCAAAGTAGTTAAAGGATAAATTACATAACATATTATATCATATATACACACAAAAATATGTGTATATATTAAGCCAAATTCTAAATTAATTAAGACGACCCATAAATATTTTTTACTCCGTAACTATATCTTATAAAAATCTAAAAGTAAAAAATTAATATTTGCACAGTAAAAAAAAAAAAGATAAGCAGATAAAAAAGAATAAATACTCTTCATATTTGCATGCATGCGAACCATGACCTTCTATACACCTGCATGGTTACTATATACATTATTCGTTCACCTAACATTACCTAATTAATATATAGTACTATATATTATTTCTAATGCTTTATAAAAACCAATAGAGGGAAAATAGGATTGCTTATTATTATTATTTTGTCACAATTCAGAAAATAATAAATTTTAAAAATTATAATTTGACAGTTAAAATCTAATGCTTATAAATCTCACAGAAGCCCGTATGAATGTTGCAGGTAATGTTTACCAACAGGAAGGAGAGGGATGAACTCCTACAAGCATTAGTCATCAGCAACGAGAACACCGCGATCCCTCGCTTCTCACACGTAATGTCTGTTAGAATACAAATAATATAACACCATACACATGCTGTTATGATGTTTATATATTCATTAATTAGATGATATACATTTATTAATCATACTGTAAAAGACATATAACACTTACATTTAAATATATATAACCGTGACAGTCCGACTCAAATCTATAATCTCTCTTTTGTAAGTTAAGAAATAGTGGTTGGTTAGTTCTGATTATTTTACTTACACATTATTGCAATTCTAAACTTCTTGTCTCTCAAGAAATTTACATTTTTGTCTTGTGTCTTGCAGAGAATACATCTCCTCTGGGGTGAAAATGATCAAATCTTCAGGCTGGAATTTGCCCAAAACATGAAACAGTATGTACATAATACCGGGATCTATTAGTTGAAATTTTAGGTCACAGACAATTTTTTTTTTTTTCTTAATCTTTTACTAAAGAATCAAGAGTCAATAATGTGAAAAATTGTCAACGATTAAACAATGTTAAATAATTGATTGAGTTATTAATTCATCTAAAATTTTTTAAGTTAAATAGAACATAGTAAAATCTATTATTCCATAACCTACACTGTTAAAAAAGAGTTTAATCTATTAGTTGTGTAACACACTCTTTCAAACGCAAATATGCTGAAACTGTAGATTACTGAACTTTAATTAACGGAAACGGGATGGTAGTCAGGCCAAAATTCTAGCCCTCTGACTGTAAAACAGAGTGAATTCATAAATGATTGGATTATCAACCAAGTAAAAAGCTTAAGCTGATAAAGAAATGATTGAATATGTTATTTATATTCAAACAAACACAGAGATGAGTCCTTTATCTTGAGTTGTCGGGAACCAGTATGTAAGCTGATTTTGGTTGATTG